CAAACAACTGAGAGAAAACAAATGAATGACTAGGCCTAATCTAAAATAACGGGGTTGAAAATGTTTCTGACACTGTGCTAGACTGATTACAGCTGTAGAACAGGCTTCATTTATGATATTACTGTTTTATTTACAAAGGACAACGAAAGAAAGAAATGAAGGCAAAATAAGTCAATTTTACTGTGAGGCAATATCATTTTGTCTAACACTCTTTGCCACCAGTGGGCTGCCCAGAAAGCACTGTGCAAAAGGCCAGTGGGCTGCCAACTTTGCCATCAGTGCATCAACAGTGGCCCGCTATCCTCTTGCTATCTGTTTGGCTTTCTGCCCCAACTGCTCCACTGCACTTGCTCAGATTTGAATCATTATTATATTTAGTCAGCTAGAATCAAACATTTATTGTTATCATGATAACTAAACTAATTCTAACCATCTCTTTCTCCTAGTCAGCAGCACCATTTAATATTCAGCAACTGTAGACAGATGCTTTGACATTCACTGAATGATGGCTGACAAATCTGACCTGTGTTCGAACATTTTATTATTTTTACTATTATTATTATTATTATTTTAAATTGTGAAATAACGCAGGACAGGATGGATAAATGCAACTAAAATGCTTTTATGTCACTTATAGTGTTTTATGTCAGGTATTGTTGCCTTCAAAGCGTGTCTCAAATGCAATACCTTCTAATGACTAAGCATGGGTGGCTACGCATTGAGACAGCTGCCTTTAGTTTCAGACACCGCCTGTATCCTCCCATGGGTGTCAGCAGAAACGCTGCCATAAACAGCCACCGCTTCACCCTTCCATCTAGGAGCCTACAGGGTTCTGTTCCCATAGCGACCCTTCCTCAATTTACTCCTTTGTTGAGAGAGGAGGTCACATGACCCCTCCTCACTATTCCTAATCACCATCGATGGCCTTCACTTCTGTTTGGAGGCATGGACAATAACTGATATGGCTGCAGAAATTCAGGTGACTTAACTGCATAGATTTTGATATGTTACGACTGATTGTTATTGATTATAATAATATACAATAAAGTATGTGTCCTTTTTTGGCCAAAATAAGACTCTTTGGCTATTTTCAAATATGAAAATCCCTCAAAAAAGCTTTGTTTTTATTCTATAAATTCCACTACTGTGTAAGTAATTCTTCTAGTCACATTTTTGTATTCAGTGTATTTTTCAGAATGACCCAGAATTATATAAAAATAATTTAATCAAACTAAATGCATTTTTATGACAAGTAAGGGGATCATCCCTGTACATACAGCAATGCAAAAATAAAACTAAGTAAATAAAGCACACCTACAGTTTGAGCTGCTATATTAACATGATATCTAATGTTGTACAGGTCAATAAAGACACAGAATATTATTACAAGGAATAACAAACATTTTAGCAACAACATGCTATATGACCAAAAGTATGTGGACACCTGAACATCACACCTCTATGAGCTTGTTGGACATCTGATCCAAAATCATGGGCATTGATATGGAGTTTGCCCATCCCCTTTGCGACTGTAACAGCCTCCACTCTTTTAGGAAGGCTTACTGTAAGATTTTGAAGCGAATTTGTACCCATTCAGTCAAAAGAGCATTTGTGAGGTCAGGTACTGTCTTCCAATCAACGTTCCAATTCATCCCACAGGTGTTTAATGGTGTTGAGGTCGGGGCTCTGTGCAGGCCACTGAAGTTTCTCTACACCAAACTCGGCAAACCATGTCTTTATGGACATTGCTATGTGCACAGGGGCACAGTCATGCTGGAACAGGAAGGGGCCTTCCCCAAACTGTAGATGTTGGAAGCATATAATTGTCAAAAATGCCTTTGTATGCTGTATCACAGTTCTTGTATTGATGTTGCTTCCAGAGACAGTTTGGAACTCTGTAGTGAGTGATTCAACATAGGAAAGGTGATTTCATCATTCAGCAGCCTCTGTAAGTGTGGGAGGTCTTCCGCTTCATAGCTGAGCTGTTGTTGCTCGTAGACACTTCCATTTCGCAATAATAGCACTTACAGTTGATCGAGGCAGATCAGGCAGGGCAGAAATTTCACGAAATGACTTGCGGCAAAGGTGGACCCTATGTCAGTGCCACATATGACATATCCATCTGCCAGTGTTTGTCTATGGAGATCGTATGGCTATGTGCTTGATTTTATACACCTACTAGCAATGAGTGTGCCTGAAACACCTGAACTCAGCAGGGGTCTCCACATACTTTTGGCGTATATATATGTAGATTGTGCACAGGTGTGTGTGTGTGTGTGTGTGTGTGTGTGTGTGAAAGACAAAGAGAAATATGCAGCAGATGGAGAGATGAAGGCATCAAAATGGCTGAACTGTGAGGTCACTCTCCAAGTCAAACACCAATAAGCCATTCTATTCTTCTCCACACAAAAAGATGAAAGGAAATTACCTCCCCCTTCCCTACTTGCTGCTCTCTCACTGTCTCTTTCTCTCTCTCAATCTTTCCTTTTCGCTGTGTCTCTCCATATCTTGACCTACTTTCCCACCCCCCCTGCGGGGTGATCTCCAGCCGCGGGTGTTTCACTCGCTCACGTGACGGCTCCCTCTAATCTAATACTATCTGAAAGGCTGAGCGCTGAGCGAAGGCCGCACATCATTTCTGCTGCTGGAGGAGACACATTTCAAACAGAACAATGGTGCACCTTCACAAAGTCGAGGGCATCCCCACAGTGTTGTAACATTCCTAATTTAGTTCAATTCAATTTGATTTGATTTTTTACAAGATTCAAAAGGGAAACCCGTCCTGCTCTGGTCAACACTGGATAGCAAACTAATAATACAAAAGCAATATGAATTACGGAAAAGATTTCACAATTAAAATATAATAGTTTGGTTGCACTGTGTGATAGTAGGAGACCTACCTAACATGTTGAATTGATTATGACTATGACTAAATTAAAAAAAGACCCACCCTTTGCAGTTTTTGCCTGTACTACATAATATTTGACTTGTTTCTTATGTCTCTGACGTGTGTGCACACGTGAACATTGTTACTGCCCTGCCTTCGATTCAATTTTTGAACTGGAAAATAGTCTAAGAATTTTATTTTGAGCAAAAATATTACTTTAATGCTTGAAAGGCTAGAATTCAATAAGTACTAGAATGGCTGTAGCAGTCATTTTGACTGTTGAATGCCTATTCATACCAGAACACAGAATAACTGAAAAACTATTTTTTGGAGATATGTCAAAATGTCAAAAAGATTAATTTTGATTATTATTTGTTAATAAATCCATAAGTGCCATGTATTAGACGCCCTGTACTAGAAGCCTTGTACTAGACGCCCTGTAGTACAGGCCCTGTACTAGACGCCCTGTTTAAGAAGCCCTATACTAGAGCCCTATACTAAAAGCCCTGTACTAGACGCCCTGTACTAGTTTTTCTGTAAGATTTAAAATAATTTTCCATAAGATTCAAAATAATTACTTTTACATGTGAATTCAAAAAACAATAAGACATAAAAGCAACTATCTTCAGCCCTATACTCTCCCATAGTCTCTCCAGAGTGTCCACGTCTCATCTTTATGAAGATATAGATTGAGTTTACCATATATTTGCAGCCCACTAAACATATATAACATATCTGTTGATTTTTTTTAATGCCATAGCCTGTACTGTATTTACCTGTCTCATTCTACTTCTACTGTTTTATTCTATTCTAGATTGTACTTTGCAAAGTATTCGGTGCATCACATCAGTGCATTTTTACACCCTCACATGCCTCACTACTCTTTGTCTAGAGGAAACATGGGGTGTAGTGTGAGAGACACAGCGGGGGTGGGGAATCAGTGCAGACAGTCTGGTGTCTTGGTAGATGTTTTTAAGGTTAGTAGAACACTGCTGGTTAAAGTTTTTGAGGCTAGTGGAACACTGCATGCTGGTTTACGGTTGGATCAGCATCCAACAATAATTTTTGTGTTTTCAAGGTGTGAATAAAGTCAGTATGTGATTACACTCAATTCTTCACAACAACCTAATTTACACATTAGTTTTATAATTACCAAATAATTTATAGTTACTGAACAACATCATAACTGAATAATAAGCCATTTAAGGGGCTTAATACAGCTAATATGAAACGTTGGGTGAACAAAAACACATTTATATTGCTAGTGCAGTTCAGGAAGTGTACTGTACTTTGCATTTATATGCATATTATAGTGATAAGAATCAGAATTTCATACAGGGTCTTTGAAGTAGACCCAAATTTCACCCACAGGGACAACAGCAATTTATAGATCAAAACATAAGGAATGTGCTGTTCCTGAATAATGCAAAAACTGTGAGTGAGTGTGATGTGAATAGAGGCAGATTGGAGGGGCTGTGGGTTAATATATGCACACAGCAAATATGAATAAAAAAGCAGAGATGTGCTACTGTTTATGCACTGTATTGTGTATTAGTTATTTATATGCATGGCTCTGTTTGAGTGTGTTTGCTTGAGAGAATGTCTATACCAGGGGTCTCAAACTACTGCTGTGTGACAGAGCTTCAGACTGCCGGTCAAATATTTAGAAATGTATTGTTAAATCCAGCCTGCAAATCATCTTCTTTGTTTTTCTGCAGCTAAATATTTACATCTGATGGTTAGATTTGCTTCACCTACCAGACACTGTGGCTTGGTTATCAAACAGAAGCTATACAAAATCAGCTTAGACAGATGATCGTGATGTTAAAAACAAAAACAGAGCGATGCAAGCAAGGGGAACCATTCAAACGAAAGTCTGACACAGCATGGATGCTGCATTTTAACCTCACGTGGGTGTAATTTAGCTATAACTACCTTAGCTATTGTTCTAATTTAGACTGATAGTTAAATCTGCCTATGTGGATTCATTTATGACCCAGCAGTAGATACAGTATGAATTAAGAGATGAAAACCTTAAGATGTTTTATGCAAGTGACTACTGGTTTGCAAGTCCACCCCCAACATCTCGGCTCCTGGTGTGCATTAGCCCTACCTCTCTCTGCCACACAGGGTTGATGGTGTTGCAGACGATGCCGGATCGCTTCTCCTGGCCGTGGTGAGGTAACGCGGGGAAGATGCTGTGTTTGCCCGGATGGATAGCGATCTTCAGGTAAGGGTCAGGGTTAAAGAACATGCCCTTCTTCAGCCCAGTGGCCTGAAAATCTGACCACACACACAGAGCAGAAGATGAGCAAAGAGCTTCACATTAAAGACAGGCAAATTAATTGAAAGGTAAAGAAATCTGAAATGTTTTAAAAGCACTTCACTTTTGGCTCCAGACGCTGCTGCCAATGATGGCACTGGGCTGCCAAAAGTGAAGTGTTTACGTGAGCGTGTCTATATGAGTGTGTTTACGCTGCTGTTTACTGTAGGGAACAGACTGCAGTGCAGCGTGTTAGAGCTTGTAAGTATTGGCTCATTGAAGATGTACGTGGTGATCAATAGCAGCGTCCCCCAGGAGACGCTAAAAATAGACGATAACTGAAAACTTATCAGGCTTAATTATCGTCTGCTAATTGGAGAGCGTGGTCATGGCAGTTGCTATGGCGACAGACCCACACACACACATATACACACACACACACACACACACACACACACACACTGTGTGGTGTGTACCTGACAGAGAGAAGCTGATGAGTCTTCTGCTGCCCTGACTCTGAGGCACGTCGTCCACAGCAACTGGTTTAAACACCTGAAGGGAAGAGAGAGAGAGAGAAACAGAGAGACGCAGGCAGAGACAGAGATAGACGAGAGAGAGAAAAGGAGAGAGAAAATGAGAAAAAGAAAAACAGGCAGAGGGAAAAACAGAGGGAGAAAGAGAGAGAGAGAAAGAAAGAAAGAGAAAGAAGGAGAGAGAGAGGGAGAGAGGAACGAAAGAAAGAGAAAGGAAGAAGGGCGGAAGAGAGAAACAGAGAGGCAGAGAGAGAAAGAAGACAAAGAGAAAGGGAGAGAGAGGGAGGGAGAAAGAAAGAGAAAAACAGAGAGGCAGACAGAGAAAGAAAAAGAGGGAAAGAGAGACAACAAGAGAGAAAGAAGGAGAGAGAAGGAGAGAGGGACGAAAGAAAGACAGACAGAGAGAGAAGGGGAGAGGGACAAAGGGAGTGGGGGGGAGAAAAAGAGGAAGGAAACAGGAAAGAACGAAACAGAGAGATAGACAGAGAGAAAGAAATAGAGAGAGAATGAGAGAGGAATGAAAGAAAGAGAGAGAGAGAGAGAGAGACAGGGAGAGGGACAAAGGGTGGGGAGAGACATGGGTAAAGAAAGACGAAGAGAGAAAGAAAAAGGAAGAAAAGAGGAGAGAAAGAGGCAAAGAGAGAGAGACAGACATAGGAAATGAGAGGGGGTGAGAGTTGTTCTTTTAGATTTCTATTATTTTATTACAGTGAAATGTGCCTCTAACTTCTTCCTGCTTTGCACTTCATCACACTGTCTTGTACTTTATTGTTTATCTTAATGTTTACAGTTGCGCTCTCTGTTGTCTTGGTGATGCACACACACACACACACACACACACATACACATACACACACACACACACACACAGCTGTACTGAATTGAGTCTTTAAAAGGAAAGAATGAAACACACCAACACATATAAAGCGAGAGAGCATCCGCAAGTGATCTCACTGTAGAGAGAAAAAAACCCGTCAGAAATCACCCACACCTCTATCTCCCCCACGCATTCCACACAGGCTGATATTCCGCCTACAGAAAACCAGATCAGTTTATATACTCAGCCACAGATCTGCTCACAGCGGCAGGTAGACACTCTCATTAGTGTCAACATCTGGACACAGAAACCCTGTAAACTGTATAAACTCACTGACACCTGTACAGAACATTTCTACCATTACAATCATTAGCAACAACTGCAGTTCATCCCGTTTTGGTTTTCTTTACTACAATATATTCCTCTGATTATCATACTGATTATTTCATACTAAATGATACATTTTATTTTTATTTTAACCCCTAAAATCTCAGGCTTATTACATACTAAGGTTTACTTTTCAGTAACTACAGGGATGTCAATGCATACTGGTTGAGGTATTCTTAGGTTATAGAGGTGTGTATTAAAACTTTGGGCCTGCTGGCGGGCCCTGATCATTTAAGTGCTTAATTCAAAGTTTACAGGTTTGAACAGGTAAGCAGCCTTTCTGACAGTTAAATATCGCTGCTGTCGGAAGAAAAACCTCACATCTCCATTTTTGTTGTTTTTCAGTTCTTGACATAATTTGAAAATTTCATTAAGAATGGACCAAAAGAAACAGCCCAAAATGACTTGGGGGAAAAAAGCCTGGTTCCATTGACTTACATTAAAAGTAAAGTAGGTTTTCTCCTTCTACTGTAAAGTTACCATTTTGGAGATACAAAGTTTTGTTCCGACAATAGCGATATGCATAAAAACACGAAGGCAGTCATAGAGAGAGAGAGTCTCTGTGTGTACTGCTTACACTCAATAACAAAATTTAAATATAAATCAGTTCACCAGCACCCACAATCTTGAGTACATAACAGAGAAGAAAAAAATAAGCTGAATTGTTGATGGTAATTGTCCAAAGTAGGAAAATTGTATATGACTAGATTAGAATTACTGGCCCATCAATCTTTTTATCACATTTGGTAAAAACAAAATGATGCATTTTGACAAATTCTACCAGGACAGGCCTGTTTCTAACAAACCCCCAACCCTTCAGTCCCCATGCCTCCAACCCGCTCCTGCTCACAAGTTACTTCTAAGAAAGTGACAGTAACTAACAGAATAAGTAAGACTAATCAAATGCTGAATGGTCATAAATAGATAAAAAATAAAAATTTACATAAATAAATTTAAAAAGGAGGCATTAAGTCTCTATCTATACAGCTTACTGTAAGCATCACTATCACTAAGATTTTCTAAATACATGATGGGTATTGGCAATATTGAATTATTGCACATGAAAAAGACAGACCGATTATAGAGTTCCTGTAAACAACAACAACCAGTGTACAGTAACTGCATAAACTGTATAGTGAAAAGTACAAAAAAAAGCTGATTGGATGTTAATCCATCACTCCACTACCTTGTTCTAGTAATTTATTTATTTCATTTGTTTGACTTTTCTTCTGTTTATTCTTGAATAGCTTATTTCTGCAAATGTTGAATTTATTAATAATTTTACTCACAGCCTTTTTAATGTGGCACTACTGTTTTGCTGCATTTCTTCTGTTCCAACTTGTTTGCAAAATATGGTGATACATATCATAAATGATAAATGTCATCAAGTATCAAAATGTGTTTGTAATATCACCCACCCTTAATTTACAGAGCAAAAATGGTTCAAATTACCATCTCTATTAGTGAGAGAGAGAAAGAGAGAGAGAGGTAAGCTAGTCTTAAGCCATCAGAAATTATAACCGAAGGCTGCGTAAGGTTAAGCCGATATTAATAAACTCAAGATTATCTGTCTCTATGCCAGGCGGGCCTAATCCTCCACTGCAAAAGGAGACAGATGGCTCTCAGAGAAACAAAAAACAAACGTGATGAAACGTGATGAACGATAAAACCGCTGAATTCTCCTTTCGACTGTGGATTGACATTTGCTATCTGCACAGTAATCTTAGGGCGAAAGCGTTCCCTGGAGCTCGGCCTCCGTCTGCAGTGTCATGCCATCACGTGAGATCAGAGGCTGGAATATTGCACGGCACAGTGTGGCTAAAGGAAAAGCAAACTGATTTCAGCAGAGGGGTATGGTGGACGCAAGATAAGGTTTGGCCGTCATTAATGTTACTCTGGAGAAAGAGGATGCACATACAGAATACTGGACAAACTGATACACACATACAAAAATACGTTCATTTTCATATGGCATTCGCACAGCATAAAAACACTGCACTTGATTAAATGCAAACAAACATTAACGCAGTAAAAGTAACAAGAATATGAAAGTAGCTGATATCTTGTGAGCTTGTTAGAAGAGCACAGGTTTGCCTCCAGATGTCTACAGAGATCCCTCTAGCTAGTGCATTGACTTCAAATTCACCCGCACAGCTGATTTAACAAGTATTGCTTAGCTAAACCAGGTACTGGATAATAACTACAAATAATATTGGGCTTCTTTAAGGAGAGGGCTGAAAGTGTAACTCATTGACAGACACTAAATCACTACTTATTGTATCAGTGTAATTTGTATTTATCCCAATATCAGGGTTTAATTAGTGTAATGTGCAGATAGCTTTTTAAATACAATTTTCTCAGGTGCCTAACACTTAGCACAATAGTGTACACACATACATATGTGTAATAATAAAATGTATAATATATAATAATAAAATATACATATATATACAGATCATATTATTACATATACACATATTTTATACATAAACTACATGTAAGCATGTGTTACAACATATAATAATATACTGTACTTCTTTTCCTGCCTAACAACACTCCTTAACTGCTGTAAAGTTATTCTAATACATGGCCCAATGTGGATTATTTCTTTAATGAACATTGTACTGTAGAGCTCTACACACTGCACATACACACACACTCACCGGTGCTGAAGGGTTCCTCACAGTCACGCTGGGTGTGGTAGCCCTCAGTGCGCCACTCACTCCGTGGTAGTATTTAAAGCAGATCTTCGTCTCCGCTGGAGGAAGATGAGGAGAGAGTAAAAGTCAGTGACAGTTGAGGACTAAGACTGTTGTTGATTTAGCCGAGTTAGTGGATTGACCATCAACAGGGTCATGACAGGCAGTCTCTGACTAAAGATCAAGGTCCTCAGCCCAGCTTCCACATGTTCAGATGTTTTTTTTTTTTAATTATTTTGACATGGAAAGCAAAAATCATTGACCAGCAATCTTTTGCTGTAACAGCTAAAAATATAGCCATTAATATAGTTATATGCTTCCTTTTGCATATATATATATATATATATATATATATATATATATATATATATGTGTATGTATATATATATATATATATATATATATAAAATTTCTTTTGGTCTATTTGTCATGCATCCTTCATGCATTCCTGTTAACCGATCTGGTTTGGTGGGATGATGAATCAGACAACTAGGGACGTCCTGCTGATCCCGTCTGAAAGGTCAGCTTTACAACCAATCAAGGCATTTCAATATTTTAAGAGATCAATATCACTTATAAGGGGAGGTCTTAAAGTCTGGTTCTGGAAGGACAGAGCCCAACACAGTTTGGTGATTTCCCTGCTCAAACACACCTACTCAACCTGGTCAACTGACAAGTCATGCTATTGTACACGGTCATGCTATTGTAACACATGCAGAATGTGGCTTGTCATTGTCATTTTAAAATAAGCATGGACGTCTCTGAAAAGGACGTCATCTAGAAGGCAACATGTTACAGATGTGCAGGTTACTCATGCCAAGGGCACTAACACACCCCCGTACGTATTTTCTTCTTTGGCACAACACAACGTCCATTATTTCTATAAATGATCTAAAAAGTTGATTCGTCAGACCATGATACATTTCCAAAGTGGATCCTTCCATTTCAGATAAGCCTGAATAAAGAGAAGTCGGCAGCATTTGTTCATGTTGTTCACACATAACTGTGTGCACAGTACAGTTTTGCATTCGTGGAAGCAACGAGGAATGATGTTTAAAGACAATTTGGTGTGGTGATATCCATCACAGAAGCACTTTCTAAGTGGCGAGCCTCAACCCACTCTTGCTCATAAAAGACTAGGCCCTTCTGGGATGACTGCATTACCTGTTTAAGATGTTATCTGAATGTTTCTAATCTTAAATTCCCCTGTTCTTTTTTGGGACGTGCTGCAGGCATCAATTTAAGAATGCATGTATATTTCCCAAAAAACAATGCTGATTCTGTAAACATTAAATATTTTCTCTTTGTACTATTTCGTTTAAATACAGGTCAAAGTGTATTTACAAATGACTGCTTTCTTTTTTAATTAGCATGTCACATATTGTCCCAACATTTTTAAACTGAGGTTAGTAAATGTCTTAGCAAAGGAAACTGGTATGACATAACAGGACTGGTGTAATGTAATGTGAAGTGTGCACTGCACAGAATCTACAACAATACAAATATCGGATTGGATTCTGTATGGCAGATACTCAATATTGAAGAACTAAGATGGCAATTTGGGCAAAAACTTAATCAGGACTGTCCTAATGCCAACAGTGTTCTTTTTATACGTTCAAACAAAGCTGGACACAAGTCCAGACAAAGAGCTGCTGATCAGTTGAGCCTAAAGTGCAGAGTGTCTACTGGATTCTTAACTTAGATAAATATAGGCTCCCCACACCCACCTTTAAATGGATTAGTTTACAGCTTCATTAATTCTACACTGCTGAAGACTGCCAGCAGCAGCACTTCCTGTTAGCAATACAACTGATTGATGGGAAAGAGGCGGGGCTGAGACGGGTTGTCTCTGGCCAGAATTCTCATCCTCTCTCTCTCCCTGTCTCTCTCTCTCTAAATCCTGCTCTGTGGGGAGGCGGGAGGCTCTAGGAGGAATCCTCCCACTGATAACCCTGCTGCCCTGAACCTGAGGAGAACTGAGCTGTGGCAGATATTCAGAGCTCCAGCAGCCCTCCAGTAGCGGTGGGCAATATATATATATATATATATACATATATATATATATATATATATATATATATATATATATACATATATATATATATATATATATATCATTAAGTTGTGATTGGAAACAAAAGCTTTAAGATCTTCAAACACCCAACCGAAAACTATCAGGATTTTGTGTGGCATCTAGGTAGATACACCCAAGTGAGCTCCCCCACTGGTTAGAACTTCAGGAGCTAAACTGAAGGCCCTACACATTAGATTAATTACCAACATAAATAGAAAGTGACAACAGAATTAACCAATCATGTTTTCCTTTCCAAAGTATGGGATCAATTTACTGAGAGAACACTTCACTCTTGGCCTTCTGGAAGTTCTAGATACATCACTGACTATGAATATGACATGCAGTCTAATCAAATTTCAGTTAGTTGTTAGAAAGTGGCTATGAACCAATAATAAATATTATTACATTTAAGTATCAAATATGTGTAATATATCGCTGTTGTTGGAACAAAACCTCGTATCTCCAAAAATGGTAACTTTGCCGGAGAAGGAAAAAATATACTTTACTTTTAATGTAATTCAATGGAATCAGACTTTTTTTCCAAGTATTTTTGGGCCATTTCTTTTAGTTTACTCATCATGAACTTTACACACAATGTTAAAGGCAACAAGCATTTTCGAATTATGCCAAAAACTGAAAAACGCAAAAATGCAAGGTTTGGTTCCAACAGCAGCGATATATATATATATATATATGTGTGTGTGTGTGTGTGTGTGTGTGTATATATATATATATAGAGTTTCAAATATACTCCTACTCTAAAGCCCCCCTCTACCCCACCCTGCCATATTATGCTAGAGCAGTTCAGTTCAACACTGTTACAGCTGCAGATGCATGCATCACCATCAGCCTGGCCCCAGCAGATACAGACGACTGTTTACAGCTAGTAGTAATATAGCACTGTGTTACAACAGCACGACCACAAATGGAGATGTGTTGCCTCTGCAGCACCTCATATGAAGATGAAAACCCATCATCATCAGGCTCAAACAGCTACCATGGCAGCCTGCTTTTCTGCACCGTCATGCTGGTCCTGGCACACTACAGCTAGGAGGTACAAACCACCAATGTAATAAAGACATTGTTTATTTATGAGAATAGAATGTATGTGCATTATGCATTAACGAGGAAAGAAAAGGACCAAAAACCGCAGCTTTATGTGGACAAAGATGCCAATACAGATACATTTCCTAAGGTAATATTGCTCAAGAGTGTGAAATCAAAGTTTTCAATAATATAAAACTACTTATACACCTTCGCAATGTGATTGGCTGAGAAGCACTGTATGACTGTATCTAAGTAATCCACCTGTACACCCAGCAACAGCCACCGGCACATAGACTGGTTAATGAAACTATTTTTGCTCATGGAATGTAAATAAACTTTCTTGTTCATCTATTTTGGTCAGTAATGTCTTAAATACTAAAAAATGACACATAAGGTTTTTCCCGACAACCGCAACACACAAGTTCATAGATCTTGATTGAACAGTAGTATTAACTGACATCTAAACATCTGTTTTAGATGTTTCTGCTCTCTCCCTCAGCCACAGCTGTTTGTAACGAGACCCTCACCACACAGGACACGTCTGAAGCTGGCCGCTCTTACAGTACCCAGTTTCTGAGGCCCTGGTTGATGTTCTATTGAGCAGATCGTGTGAATGGATGCAGTGCAATTGTTTCCATGGCAGCTCTGTGGAGTGTAGGGATGCCCTGTGGTACTAAACGTCCACATTTACTCCTAATGCTGGAGTAACAGCCTGCTGAGATCAAACCCAGCACACTAACACAGCGTCATTATCACCCTTCTGCAGCTCTGCAGCTCACACTGAGGCTGGACTGGAGAAAATCTGATGTTTGATCTGACGGCATGGGTGAGAGTGTGTGTGTGTGTGTGTGTGTGTGTGTGTGTGTGTGTGTGTGTTTGTGGTGTTTGTGTAAAAGGCAAAAGAGCAATGCTCTGATCTGTGAAGCATATCTGTAAACTCTGAAAGACTAGACTGTGTAGTGTTACGTGTGTTGGTGTCTACAATACAGTGCAAAAGTCAGACAGCAACTTTCATTTATTTAATTCCCATTTAAAATGGCCATTAAGCGCAAAGTGATTAATTTTTCAGGAGATATTTCTGAACAGATAAGACATAAGATAATCAAACTGCATAAGGAAGGGAAAGTCACAGGAAAATAAGTGAAAAGTAAGATCAAAAAAATTATAAAAGATACAGAGAAAATGGGACTCCAAACAACCATGCAAGACCTGGTAGACCCCCAAAACTGTTCCCCTCAGATAAACAGCACTTAAAGCTTTCATCTTTGAGAGAGAGGAGAAAATCAAGCTGCTCCAGATCTGAAAACATCTACAGCTGTTTCTGTCCATCCTTCCACTGTGAGAGGACAACCCAACACTATGAGTATAGCGCTAAGCTAACAGTTATTTACATGAATTTCTGATCTAGATTCATTGCTGTTCATACAGCAGGAAAAGGGGCCCAAATCTGATTTTCTCACCAAATCCGATTGTTTTGTTTGGCTGTTCACAATATCTTTTAAATGTGACCTGTATGCGACATCAGTCTGAACAGATCACACTACTAAACTGACCCGCATGTGTAAAAGAACAATCCTTCACATTGCTTCACATGGTGCGCTCATCCAGAGGTAAACAATCATAACTGCCAACAAACACCAGTCGGTCCCAGAGGTCCAGTTTCATCTTCGCCAGCATCACAGAAGCCATCATGAAGCCTCATTGACTGACAGCTGGGCTAATCACCCAGAATGTGTTCGAGACATAAGAAAATAAGGGAAACTCATAATGCTCAACAAGGCATCCGATTATGGAGAAAGTCCCGCCCTTTGGTAAAAAGACCCAATATGCTTGCAGGTACAGGTATAGGTCTTTCGCCTTTCAAAGAGATACAAGCCTGGCCTTGTATGACTGAAAATAACCAACTGAGGCCACTGCCAAGATGGCTGCAGAGTGGACAGACTTTCTTATAAGGACTTAAAAGGACCTATTACAACGCACTGGTCAGGCTACCACTCATATTCAGAGAAAGTGACGTATCTAGGACTCCCAGAAGGCTTAGAGTGACATTTTCTTTTCTCACAAAATTGGTCCCATTCACTGTAAATCAAACTTGGTTGATTGACTGGTTAATTCCTCTGTCAGTCTGTATTTATGTTAGAGATTAAGCAGTATTGTTAGACCTACAGTTCAGCCCGTGATGTCCTAACCGTTGGAAGTCCTAACCCTTTGTTTCTAACCAAAACCTGAAATAAGAGCATTACTACAACACTTGCAGAGGTTAAATGCAACAAGCATGATGAGTCTATTAAATAAAAATGAACTAAAAATTACAGACATCAGAGGAATCATTAGGCCTTAATTCAGGGACTGTGTGCGCTTGTGTGTGTGGATGCATGTGTGTGTAATGCAATTCACCAGGTGTCCTCTGCAAGAGGTTGAAACAAGGGATTTACCGGCTAAATCAAAAGATAAATATAAACACTTACGCTCAACGAAGTAGGAGTTCGCCTCAATCTTCCACACAATCTGGCCTTTGTGCGAGCCGTTCACACCACGGTTCTTATAGTCTAGAAAGTTCTCTGACAGCACCTCGTCTGCAGAAAAGAGAACAATATGTGAAGGAAAAGGGAGGGAGCTCGTTTTTCTCTTTTTTTTTGTCCCCGTACCTTTCTGATGGGAGCACAATGCCTTCTTGAGTGACTGCTGGATCTCTAATATGCACATTTTTGTGGCCTGCAATTAAACTGTCACTCATAAAAGTGCCGGGCGCAGCCAGCGTCAGTTAAAAACATGAGCTCAAACAATTAAGAGATTAGTGTGTGTGTATCAGATTCAATGCAAGCTTCCTCACACATCGCACACACTCACAGACACTCACACACACTAAAACTCACACAGAAAGACTGAAAGATTAGGGATTTTCGGAGACACTGAACTCCTGAGGCAGAGCAAATGGGGATAGATTTATAGTTTCATAGTTAAAGTCTCTTTCTAACGCATCTTTACAGCCTGACTTGGCTGTAAACTTGGAATACCTGGAATAAACTCTTGTTCCATTAACTTTCCCATTCAAAGTTAAAGCTGCACTAGGCAAGACGTTTTTGGTTAAAACTAAAAGATGTAGAATGACTGAGTCACACGTCTTTAGGGATTCACGCCACACACAAAGTCTCAAAAAAAAGATTTGCCAACCTTCAAGTATTAAAGATAAAATAAACATTACACTGTATCAAATAGATATAGTAGATCATTCACTTACAGCCTCAAAAGATACGTTTTTCTTCAAGTTTGTTGCTGCGTGCAACACACATTTCCACCAGGGAGGTCTCCAAATCCCCAAAACTTACACAGTGTAGCTTTAAGAATGGTTTTACCCTCTCTTGTAAAGTTACCATTTTGGATATACAAAGTTTTGTCATGACAGTGACGATATGCATTTGGGGATCATTAAAAAATGATTAAAAAATGATATGTGATTACATATTCCCCCTAAATAGGGGTGAGTAATGTGCTGTAGCTAATCAAAAGATGTGCTGTAGCTAATCCTTGTTTCTACGTTCATTGTCCATTTTATCAGCTCCACTTACTATATAGGTGCACTTTGTAGTTCTACAGTTACAGACTGTAGTCCATCTGTTTCTCTGCATACTTTGTTAGCCCATTTTTACCCTGTTCTTCAGTGGTCAGGACCCCCATGGACCCTCACAGAGCAGGTACTATTTGGGTGGTGGATAATTTTCAGCACTGCAGTAACACCGCAGGTGTGTTAGTGTGTGTTGCGCTGGTCTGAGTGGATCAGACACATCAGTGGTGCTGGAGTTTGTTATGCCTGATCAGTGTAGATACATACATACATACATATATATATACATAGTCATTAAAGGGTCCATATTCTACATTTTTCCTTGTATTTTACTATCCAAGATAAATACACACACACACACACACACACACACATATATATATATATATATATATACATATATATATATATGCTTTTTCAATCTTTGTAGCAGCTGCTACCACTGTGCATCTCTCTCTCTCTCTCTCTCTCTCTCTCTCTCTCTCTCTCTTTCTCTCGCTCTCTCTCTCTCTCTCTCTCTCTCTCACTGTGACTCTCTTTCGAATCAAATTTAAAGACGCACATTGACTCATCACTGTATGTATGAGGTATTTGTCTTAGTCAGGATGTCGCACACAGTGCCAAAAAAAAACAACCGAGTCACAGTTCACACAGAGATGAGTACAACACAAACCGCATGAATAAATAAACACCTGTAGAAGATAATAAATGAGAGCAGGCAGCAACAAACAACAAAGCCATCTGCATAAGCAGCCAAGAGGGAGCACTCAGCCTTAGGTTTTAGCATTACTTTCCATCTCCTTCAGCAAGCTAGTGAATTAGGTATTCTGCAACTCAAAACACAGCAAGAGTCATTAAAGGGTCCATATTCTACATTTTTCCTTGTATTTTACTATATAAATAGTAATAAATATAGAAAATAGGCCCTTTAATGGCTTTAGCAGTGTGTTTGAATGACAGAATACATGATTTTATTGCTCACTGAATTTAATTGGTCCACTTACAATGTTTGTGTGGTTTTATGTACCAAAAACAGGCCTAATTCATTTTACATGTCTATGTTCCATTTTCTTCTTTATTCCTTAGAATTAAACAGGCTGTTTTAGTTACCATGTCTTTAAGACTAATAGGTAAGACCGAGAGGTAAATAAACTAAATTCTGATTGGCTGCTCTGTATTGTGCCTCATTAAAAAAGCAACCCAGACTGAAATGTACAGAATAAACTCTTGAGCTCAGATTAAAATCCTCAGAGACATCAGAAAAAATGATCTTCAGCCACTAATTTTGGATGTGTGGAAGGCTTGGAAGGCTGCAGTGATTCACTGGCCTTCCAGCACAACATTAATAGGGCCCATATCCTACTTTTCTTTTTTTTTCCCCAAGGTACGTTTGACATTTGTGTGGGTTCATGTACCAAAAACAGTCATAATTAATTTTTGCATCACCTTCTTTCAACCTCTATTTATCCCTTTTATCCCTTTTTTTAAACAAGCTGTTTATGTTACGGTGCCTTTAAGACTGATATATAAATGATCTCTGTTCTGATTGGCTGCCCTGTTTTGTACCTCATTCAAAAAGCAGTCCAGGGTGAAAAACTTCTTATAACTATTCCGTTTGAATGGGGAGCTAAACTGCTGTGGGCTGGTGGATATATGTAAATTATTTGTTTTAACAAAAACAATGAATTCAAGACGAGCTCTTTAGCTCTTTTTACAGCTTAATTTTCATATCGTCGCTATCGGAACAAAATCTTGCATCTTCAAAAAGGTAACTTTACAGGAGAAGAAAAAACATCTTTAAGTTTTTATGGAAATTAACGGAGAAACTATTTGTTCCAAATAATTTTGGAGCATTTCTATTGGTCTATTCATCATGAAATTTGTGAAAATTTACTAATAGCTCAATCGGAATAGAAAACGTCCATGCATACACCTCAATCAAAATAGACTAGATTGAGGCCGTTTAGAATACAATTTCTATCTGATTGAACGAGGTGGGTAATCCTGTAAATAATCTGTTAAACAGAAGAATAATAGCTGTGTAAATGCCTGTATCCGATTACATTCCCAATCGGAAAGTTTAAGTACGTTCTGCGCATGTGCGTCGCGTCATAGCGGCATGGCGGGAGCAGAAACTGGTCTGCAGAGGAGACGAAGTTTATGCTCTGAACTTTAAAAGACGGTGGTGGGACGGGCGTCCAGCTTATGTGTCTCAGAACACGACGTCTTCCTCTCACCATTCTTTAATAAGTACACGTGAAGTATGTTTTCCTGAGTCTGACATCATTTTAGAGTAATGAAAAACACAAGCACTGCTCACTGCTGCTCGTCTCACTCTGGACTCAAGTGATGCTCGTTGTCATAGTAACGTCAGATTACAAGCAACGTACATGTACACAGAGATTTTCATCAGATTGTTGAGTCGAGTGAGCATTTAAACACCTCAGTCTTAATCTGTAATCGGAATATATTTGACCGGATTGGCAAAAATGCATGTAAACACAGACACTGTAAAGTGCAGCTGGCAATTTCAAATTATGTCAAAAAATGAAAAACAACAAAACCTCGTATCTCTGTTTTTGTTCCGACAGTGACGATATATATACACTGTATGGACTAGAGAGTGAATGATATGTTTTGAAACTTTTAACAGTGTTTACATGTTACTTTAAAATCTCACATTCCAAAAAAACAAGGAATATTTAGTTTTCCAATGATATGGGCCCTTTAACTCTGCTATACACTGCCTGCAGGAACACACACCTTCCACATAACTTCAAAGTGAGTGAGCAAGGCTGAACTACTGTAGGCTGAATGGGTGCACATGTGGAAATAAGTTCATGACTTTGACATCAGGCTGTTTATTTTCCATATTCAGGGCTGCAGACCGAGGAGTGCAGCTTAGAACCTTTAACATTTTTTTCTTTAATTTAAATTCTTTACTTTCAACACACAAAGAAAATTCAGTTTTCTAGGATACAGGACCTTTAAGTATTTCTGGTCTCTCTTTTTGTTTACTCACCGATGAGGTACATGCCGATCCAGTCACCGGCATCCACCTCCTCCTTGATGTCCCAGGTGAGGGTGATGTCTGGCGACTGGCTGATGGCGTAATGTGAGGTGCTGGCGGTCAGCGTGGAGCGGCAGTGGGAGGTCACCAGGTCCGTGTCGCTGGTGGAGCGCGGCAGGGTGGCCGTGAGGTCCTCGGCCACGCCGTTCTGAAAGTCCACATTGGGGAAGTGCTCCGGGTTAAAGCTGTGCCGGATGGGGTCCTTGCTCCGGCGCCGGCCCTGCGACGAGCGAGACGGGGAGGCCATGGCCGCCAGCCCGAGAAACCGGTTCTGGTACAAGTTCTGATGGAGCAGAAGACAGACGATAAGGGCAGCGTATTAAGCGTTACATTTACATTTGTGCTCTTCACACACCACACACATGCACACACTCTACACACCACACACACTCTACACACATCACACACTCTACACACCACACACCACACACACTCTACACACCACACACACTCTACACACATCACACACTCTACACACCACACACACTCTACACACCACACACACTCTACACTCATCACACACTCTACACACCACACACACTCTACACACATCACACACTCTACACACCACACACACTCTACACACATCATACACTCTACACACATCACACACACTCTACACACATCACACACACTCTACACACATCACACACTCTACACACCACACACACTCTACACACATCACACACGCTACACACCACACATACTCTACACACCACACACACTCTACACACCACACACACTCTACACACATCACACACTCTACACACCACACACACTCTACACAACACACACACTCTACACAACACACACACTCTACACACATCACACACTCTACACACCACACACACTCTACACACTGCACACACTCTACACACATCACACACACTACACACCACACACACTCTACACCGCACACACTCTACACACATCACACACTCTACACACCACACACATTCACAAACTCTACCCACCACACACACTCCACGCACATCAGAAACTCTACCACATAGCGACGCCTTAGCAACCAGTCAAGATATCATAGCAACCATTTAGCAACAACTTAGCTACCACATGGGACACCATAGGGACACCAAAGCAAATAACTAGCAACACCTTAGCAATCACCTGAGATACTCTAGTATACCCTTAGCAACACCTTAGCAACCAAATGGGATACTCTGATAGCAGCCTAGTAACACCTTAGCAACCACCTGGGAGGGCACAGTCTCCATCAAGCAACACTCTAGCAACCACCTGGGATACCATAGCAACCACTTAGCAACAGCTTAGCAACCCTGGGATACCACAGCAACTGCCTAGCAACACCTTAGCAACTGCATGGGATACCACAGCAACCACCTAGCAACATCTAAGAAACCATCTAGCACACCATAGCAAACACCAAGCAACACCTTAGCAACCACCTGAGATACCCTAAAATCGGCTTAGCAACACCCTAGCAATTACCTGGGATACCATAGCAATTACCTGGGATACCATAGCAACTGCCTAGCAACACCTCAGCAACCACATAGGATAACATAGCAACCACCAAGCAACATCTTAGAAACCATTTAGCACATCATAGCAAACACCAAGCAACACCTTAGCAACCACCTGGGATTCCACAGCAACTGCCTAGCAACACCTCAGCAACCACATGGGATACCATAGCAAACACCAAGCAACACCTTAGAAACCATCTAGCACACCATAGCAAACACCAAGCAACACCTTAGCAACCACCTGGGATAGCATAGCAACACTCTAGCAAACAAGCAAGAATTAAACAGCAACAGCCTAGAAAAATCTTGGCAACCTGAAATACCATAACAACCACTGTTTACACTACAAAATAACAACATTAACCCCTTCAGCTTTGAATAACCCCAAAGTACATATACACAGTATAAACAATTAAGCAGAAAGTCTACAACCACTTTAACTTTTCATCATTATTAGCTGGCTTTTTACGTTGTTTATGTTGCATAAATGTTGTGAACCATTGCAGTGATATTAGTTTATCTGTGTATTCATACACATACTATACACTACTGTACATACATATTACACGTTATACACTGAATTTATTTTATTCAAATAAATAAATAATAATAGTTTTGCCAAGACTGTGACATTAGCACCTGTGACAATGAAACAATGAAACAGGAAACCGCAAACTGGACAGAGTTGAGAAAGGGATAAGAAACCACAGCTGGGCAACTGGAGGAAGTGCATTGTTTCGTTTGATAGCAACAGAGAAAGGATCAGGTGCATTAAGGTCCTCTTCTCTTGATTCTAAGCCTAGGCTTACCCTGCCGATGGGAGCGCTGCAGTGAAAATCTTTTTTAGACTAGGCTTAAACCAGTGGTTCTCAATCTTAGTCCTGCAGGCTTCATGCACGGCCTAATTTTGCACCTCACTCAGCATTTATCAGCTTGCTAACAACTATCCAGTGAGTGGAATCAAGTGTTTTATAGCAAGGAAAACAATGGCAAAAAAAACAGGCCTGCAGAACTGAACAATTCTTTTTTCTAAGCATATTGTAGGTATTGTAAATCCAAAAACTCTTAGGACATGTACATTTTGAATTAAAATATCATCGTACTTATATATATTTTTAAAACTAGCACTACTATTTTGCTGCTACATTGTGTTTTTTCCAACTTATCCAACCCCCCCAAAAATATATCAAAAAATATATGTACTGTATATCGCAGAAAGATCTAGATTTGTGTAGTACAGATATCTTTTTGCCAGATTGCCCACACATACTCCTAAGAACAACTGGCTTTATTAATATCTGGAATAGGAACAACTTTTGGGATTTCTCTCAAGGTGTCCTTCAAGCAAGCCAGTTTATTTTAAAAATGATTAATCAGCAATTTGAATGATAACCAAGGTATCTGCAGGTCATAACAAAGCCATGTTTCTCAGGGTGAAGATTCTCCACAAGAGCTATTAGCCACTTTTGTATGCACCACTGAAAGAGAGAAAACCCACACTAGCAGGATTTCACCAATGCACATGTTGTTTAGTTCTATTTTTTATGTGTGTAAAATTAAAGTCAACGTTTTATGCTGCAAATTGTAAGTATATGAAGTGAAAGTGTGTGTGAAGTAAAAGTTTCTGTTCAGCTAACAGGCTAACAGACTACTCCAACAATATTCAGTTATTTAGCCCTCAAGTCACTTTTGTTTGCACCACTGAAAGAGAGGAAACCCACAGTAGTAGGATCTCACGAACGACACATATGTTCTGTAGTTATAATTTTATGTGTGTAAAATTAAAGTCAGTGTTTTATGCTGCAAATTGTAAGTATATGAAGTGAAAGTGTGTGTGAAGTAAAAGGCTCTGTTCAGCTAACAGGCTAACTGACTACTCCAACAATATTCAGTTTACTGCAGGAAAACTGCAACAAAAAAGTAAAGAATCTGACATTTGAATGTCTGTTATAAGCTTCAAATGCTTCAAATGTGTTTAAGCAGAGCTGGCCTAAGCAGTATTAAACCCTCTGTGGTAACTCGACCGCACCATTAGCATGGAAAGTCCTATAGAAGTGCTAGCGGATATTGGTATTATCGTAATGGAGGTGGTGCATGCTACAGTAAACAAAATGAAAACCATGGCCATGTGATGTTCATGAAATGACTGGCAAAAGACAGCATTAATGATTTCTTATTACAATGCTATTACAATGACTTAAAATGCATAAAATTCAATTTGCTGGTACCTGCAGACACTGAAATAATGCGTATTTGAAATTGTTCTACCAGTCTCTCTTGTTTGAAAGACGCTGCATAATATATTATTGTGCCTGTGTTTATTGTTTGGCCTTCCAAAAAAAAACATAGGTTATTTAATCATCAAAATAACTCTATGACTCATACAGAACTCTATGACATGCAAACAGAACTGGACAGGTATTAAATTTAAGTCCGTCTTCTCTGTCACTTCAAAGTCCCATTTGTAATTTGCCCTATCTCTTACTGCCCACGAGACGACAGAAAACACAGAGCACTACTATTGTCCACTGTAATCCTGACATGCTTAATATTCCTCTTAACCTTGCGTTTCGTTCCCACCTTTAATCCCTTTTCCCAGAGGAGTTGAGGCCTACCCATCCATACAGTAGTCACAATGACTGAATCCACTCTAATAGAAATACACTGAGGTGCCAGTTTATTAGGTTAACCTTTTAACTGCCGCCCTATTTTTGCCTAAAACAGCATACCAAAGTAAAAGTCATAATCTTGGTCTCATCTGAAAGGTAACACCCTCAAGTTTTTTCCCAACCATCAGAATAATTCTATGAAATACTGACACAGAGCAACAAGCTCTGGAGGAGTTTATTTCCGCCTGACTCATAGATCTCTAAACTGATCTCTGGCTCTCGACGTGTTATCAAGACCACATGTTTTGGATTATGATGTCTCTGTGGATAGAAGCAAGGCTTTGAAGGTAAGAACCCACAGATTTGCTAGCGTTTGATGCACAGAGGCAATGTAAAACAAACCAGAAGTGGACGCTTCAACAGAAGTGTGCTGGTACCAGTACAGTGATCTAAAAAAAGGTTAACATACATTGTATCTACACTCATTGGCCATTTTGACTGTCGCTGCATAATCTATCAGCAGCTCCACCTCATCCATCAGTGAAAATGGAGCACGTTAGGACCAGCACTGACCATATATTTTTAGGGTGGTGGTCCATTCTCAGAGCAGCAGTGACACTGACATGGTACTGCATATGGTGGTAGTGGTACAAGTGTATCAGGTCCAGTTTTTAACACACGTCATTGTCACTGCTAGGTTGAGCGTGGTCCACCACTGTCTTACTTCCAAGCTTTTTATTTTTATTATTCTATTTAAAAACATTTTGAAAGGGTGCAAACACGCGTCTTTAATACCCTAGAAATATGCAGTGTGAATGCCATACACAATTGGACCTTAAGGATCATGTATCTTTCAATGTACCTGTATAGCGGGGTAGAGTGGGGCTGTAATACAGCATCACCTCAAAGCATGTAAACTCACAGTGAGAGATAGCCAGGCTAAAGCACTGTGGTCAGTTTAACACTGTGCTACAACTAAGCCTCCTACATAAACAATGAGAGTCCATACCCTCCCATATAAATTCAGAACAACTTTACTGGAAGTTTTTATGCAAAGATTCATCAAACGTACTAAAGATCTTTGCTGATTTTTGCTTTTCTACCTTGTGGTCAAAAACAGATTTGCCACATTCAACACAGCTTCTTCTACTAGGGATTCTGACTAATTCTCACACTTGAGTGTGAAAGTATGAGAAGAGTTC